CACAGTTAACTTTGAAATCTGCCTAAGCATCATTAACTTTAATGGCCCTGAGCACATGCTTCAAGCTAAACATGTACTGGAAGTGCTCTCCTGAACGTAGACGGGATTAGGCCTGTACAAAGTGTTTTGGTGAAATGCAGTGTAAACCTTGAGAGAGATCAAAATCCCCAGGGATTCACTATGGAAGTGGGTATCACAGCATCTGTCACGAGGGTCCGTGCTCAGATGCCTCATCGGGCAGCACAAGCTGACCCTCCCGTTCAGGACCATTTTCACACCTGAGGGATACTAAAATCTCCAGCGACCCTGGGGGCCTTTAGAAGGGGGTGGACACTGGGTCGCTGCATGGAGAAGCGCTGGAGTACTGCCCCGCATGCAGGAGAAATGATTCCTAAGAGAGTAGATGAAATCATGACGGGCCAATAGTGTAAGATAAAGATTTTTTTGAAAAAAGACCTGAATTGAGTCTGGCTAGAACTAAATCTGTAGTTAAATAAAGGCATATAATGAAATAGAAGCAGGAAGAACACGCAAAAATTAAAAATAAGCATTTATGTGCACTAAACAAACAGTATCATCCAGTCTCTAGGGTAGAATAACTGAGAAAAGATAGTATTGAAATAACTTAAAAAATAGAATAACGTCTAATGGGGACCTTAGAGGACTATTTATGTAGACTGCATGAACAGCTTGATTCAAAAGGGAGCTTTGCCCACTTTCAGAATTGTGTACAATTTAGTCTTATTTATTTAACACCTGAAGCCAGCTTGCATTCACTGTTGAACTGCCAACAAGAAGCACTGGAGATGCCTGACAGTGCCCTCCTGCCTTTTGGGGAATTGCAGACTAGCAGATACACGATAGCACTTGCCTGGTGGCAAAAGCCTTTTGATTCCCCACTGGTCACTGCCCCAGAATTACCCCATGTGTCTGGACCTTTTGTGAGCCACTGGGGAGATGGAGGCAGAAAGCCTTCTTAATGCAGAGAAATATCTGAGCTAACATTTTTTTTTTTTTCTTTTTTTCCACGAGAGAGTGATGCAGAAAAGGGATGCAAAGGAGATGGTGGGAGAGAGCAAAATCTTTGGGCTGCCACAAGCTCCTAGGTTGGCTTACCACATCTCATATGGCTTCACCCTAAATTTCTGAAGAGATACCCCTCACTGTAGGGATTTTTCTATTCCCCTAAAATACTAGGCCTTATATCTTTAGCATAACTTTGAGTGGGCTTTGGCTATTCATCATAGGGAGCACAGGCAGAAATGAACTGTTCCTTAGGAAACCAGCTGGACGTTACGGAGAAACAACTTAAGCCAAGCCATAGCAGAGGCTCTCTTTAAGGTTTATGAATGACTATTTTTCTGGGTGATGCTTGTGAAATAAGTCAGGTTGTCACAAGCAGTTCACTGAAGACTCTACTGAACGTGTTAAAGTTCTGAGAACAGAAAGACTGCTGCAAGACCGTGGGTGGGACATATGGGTGAATAAGCCATTTCTTTCCCTCATATCTGATTGTTTTTATGTAAATACACACAGACATAGTTATACATAGGACCACTTGGAGAAAATAGATGTGTGAGGGCAACTGCATTCATTTCTTGTGAGTCTCTCTCGAGTCTCTTTTGAGTCTCTCTTCAACAATCAAAGTCCTAGAATTCCACAATGGTTACATTATGAGATCCTTTGTTTTTAAGAAAGCTTAGTGAAAGTCACCTCATTTGTCTTTTTAGAATATACCAACATAAAAAGGAAATCTTCCAAACATTAGTCAACCACGGCATGGCTTTGTAGAGTGTTTTAACTTGTGTGACATGAAGAAGAGTGTGATGCATGTCCTCAAACAGCTGTTTGTAAAATTGTTTACTAAACAAGCAAGAAAATGACAAGATTGAGAATTGGAAACCAGTAAGAAAGAAAGAAGCAATAAAATATTAGACAGCCAAATGACTGTGGTTTGATATATCTTGCCTCAGCTTTGCTTTGATTTTCCGCAAAAGAAGTTGGCAGTGCCAGTAGAAAGGCTGTGAACAATGTAACAATATGATGTACTCATGCCAAAATGTAAATACAAAAGAAATGTTTTAAAATACACTGTATCAAATTATCTGCAAGAAGCAGAAAAAGATGAATCAAATTTTCAGTTCTTTGGAAACACAGAGAAAACTCAAATGCAGAGTTTAAAAGATTATGTTTACATAGGTACAAATTCCTTATTAAAAATTTCATCTCAATTAGAGAAGACCAAATTAATACTTTGGTGATGATGTGACAGATGTACATGAGTGATGTGTTTCATCATGATCACAGTAAACTGAATAAAATAAAAAAATGAAACTAAAAAACCTCAGAATGTGCCTCACACATCTCTTTCTCAACAACTGAGGATGTGAATGAGGCTGAATTGACTTTTTAATGAATCTCAAATTCCACAAATGGGTGCCTTTTAGGATCAAAATATTAGGTAGGCTTGCAATATGAGATTTTTTATAAAGCTCTGAGATATGAGTCTTAATGCAAGAGGCTCCAACCCACTCAGATGGACAATAACTCTTCACTAACCCTGGATTAATACAGGCACTAGAGAGAATATGTAGGGAGGAGAAAATCATCTCAAGCCAAAGGCCCACCCTATGTGCCTATATGTAAAGAGCAAGAGACATAAAGAGCTTTATCTACCTTTCTTAATGCAATCTGTTTTCACAATAAAATATCTCATTTGTATTCTTTTCCCACAGCATGCCATAAAATGGTTATATATTTCAAAAGCATTTCCAGTGAAAGCCAATGAATAGGTCTGCAGAGGTTCAAATATCTGACCTCCTTTTCCTTGCTCTGAGTCCACTGAGTATGAGCCTAGCCCAGCCAGCCTGGAAAATATGAAGTTTATTCCCAAGCTAATGTCTCTGGACTCATGGCTTAAGCAGACGGGATGGTGTCCTAAGGAGGCTCAGAGTTACAGCTGTTAAAATTGTTGGGTGCCTTCTAAGTTAGATGGGTGTACAAGACATTCATTTGAAGCACCAGAGGTTGTTTTGTTTTCTGAGAGGTGTTGAAAATTCTACCCTCTAACATTGCTCCTTGGCCTTCTCTGGCCTACGGCCAAAGTACGAAGCCAGTTCACAGGCAAAATTGTATTTCCCATCAAGACCATGGGCCTTGGTCACTGCTCAAATACTCTGTTTTTGCTGTTTAAGCCAAAGCATATATTGTAATACTGAAGTTAATATTTACTGTTTGGTACACAACACTCTGTAGTCCCCCTGTGGTCTTTGACAAAGTTCACTTCACTGCTCTTGTTTTCCTAGCTAAAAGCTAGTTAAAGAAACGGATGATGGCATGTGTATGATGTTGAACTCTAAGAGGAAAGTCAAATGCTCTGCTTGTTGCTCAGTGTAAACTCAATCTGAGGTCATTGGGACTTTGTTTGTAGGAGGTTCTTTTTTCCTAAAGTAACCCAGTGTTTTCCAGCAGGTCAATGACAAAAAGACAAAGTAGTCTAAGAAGAATACTGTGAAGGTCCTCTCTTCTGCCTCTAGTCCTTAGCTTTTTCAGCCTGACCTTAGGTTTTTTAGTGGCTGCAATTGTATGAGCAATATGCCTACGTCAGCCCATATGATTAAGAAAACATTACACATAAAAATTTGTACCAGTTACCCTTATTAGTCTCTCAACTCAGCAGAAATTACTAGATTTTGCGCAATGCAATCCCACAGAAAAAGGATATCACCATATTCTCTGATGGGCAAGTGTAGGAGGCTGTAAACTAAGTGAAATGCATTTATTGGGATCCTCTGGTTTTACTTCATGAGAAAGCTGGTTGTCTCAACATAACCCTTGCTGCCCTTTCTTTTTTTAAGGTCATATAGACAGGACATGTGGCCGACGCTCAGTCCCAGTGCAACCAGTAACGTTAACCCTAACCAGCCCAAATCATGACTGGTTCAGTTCATTCTCTGTAGCAAAAGAAATCAAGCACAATTTCCTAGTTGCTGATATTTCAAGGACTACATGAAATTATTCTATTTTCAGCAAATATCAAGGCCTGGCTGATTGCAAGGCCTCCACTCCAAAACTCTTTGTGCTAATAAAAGCACATTATCTTTGTAAAGTTAGTCACTATTTCATTGTGAACAAGGCCATGGCAGCCTGCCCCTGAATTAAAAACTAAAGCCAAATCCCATTTGTTCTGCATCCCCTGTGGGTTATTGCTATAATCTCTAATTGACAGTGATTGCATTTTATGAATCCGTGAACATATATTAATTTAATTTACAGCATGTCCATTTTTGTTAAACATCAAAGATAGCAATTTATAAATGACATCAGCAATAATTCTGCGTTCAGGGCCATTTCTGCTGCCAGTCCAGGCTTGAACTCAGCACTTCAGCTGCAAGCTGCCTGCAGGCACCAGATGATGCCCAGGTGTCTGTTTTCCAGTGAAATGGATGTTTCTTGCTCTGAAGGCAGGGGGGGTACATTATTTCTGACATATCTGGGAGGAAGGTCTGCCTTCTTCTGGAGAGGGGCAGCCTCCAAAGGTACCTGCCCCATGTTAGTTTGACCCATGGTACGCAGGGCTGTTCTGAAGGAGAAATTCCTTCTGGGTTTTGAGCTAACATGGGCTGCCCCCCAGCCCCAGTGCAGTGCCGCTCCTCCTGCTTCACACCGGGGCTTCACTGGGCTCGGGGATGCTCTTTCCACACAGCTTCTATAGCAGCCTTTCCGCACGTGCCACTGGAGAGGGTGCTTTGCTATTCCCAGGATCATCTGCTTGTGGTACAGGATAGACAACTCATCCAGCAGCAACCACCTTCCTCCAAGGCACTGGGAAGCTGGAGCACCCTTTTCTAGTTCTTCACCATTTTTGGCCCCAAACTTGGCCACTCTGAACCTACCTTGATACAATAGTTGTCCCTCAGAGTGTAGGAAGCTCAGAGAAATACTGTGTGGAGATCCTGAGCTGTTTACCTGAGAGAAATTTAAACTCTCCCTCCATTTAGGGGACCACGGATCTGGAGAAGAAACTTCAAGATAACTGGTTTGGCCATCAGTGCTTTGCAGGCTTTTTCTGCCTATGCCTTCTCCCATGGGTATGTTCTACACTTGCAGCACATCAGCCTCAGTCCACCTTCTTCCTCCATTTGCTACCCCCACTCCTGCAGCTGTGAATATGTTCCAAAACTGGTCAAGATGTTGTTGCTTGATTTTTGTTCTTCATTTCCACGTTTTGTCCAGGGGAAGAGAGAGAAAAAAACCACTGGGAAGCGCAGATGATGGAACAGAACAATGTTCGATGTTACTGGGAAAAGTGTGGGAAGGGAAGAACCCCTTATGCTACCAAGGCAGGAGGTACAGCAAAATCTCTGCTACCACAGCAATGCCTCACAAGTCTTGTGGTCATCTACAAGTGGCAAAAGAGACACATCTTGCTCTCAACTGAAGTGTCACATCACAGCAGCATATAACTACACTTCTAAAGTTGCCTACATCCAAAGTGAACTGACTCCGTGCTGAAAATGTCCCCTGTTACAACCAGAGACTCTGGATGCAGGAAAGATGCTGTCAAAACATAACGGTCCAGCTTATGGCTTGATTGAATGTTTTATCATCTTTGGAAGGCATGACAGCTGGTGTGAACTTTTGTATCCGATATCAGCTCCTGCTCCAAATACTTCCATGTGACTGGCTTTGGTTAAAGAAGACACTCTTGCTGAATTTAATTAGATAGAAACACAGTTTAAGTGCAGATACCACCCCTTCTCGTTACCAAGGAAGATGGCCTGGAGCGTTGCTTCATGCCCAAGAGTCTCCCTAGCATAGCTTTCTGGCTGAGAAAACAATGTGCTACATCCAGGAAAAATATGAAGGCTACATCTGTGCCTAGAAACTGTCACAGTGGTATCTTTATAAATTGTACTGATATAAAAACAAAGTGCCTCAATTTAATTACATGTGTTTTCCTTGGTTAGTGTAAGATGAATTCTGGGGGAGGATCCGAGGACCTTTTTCCTATCAGACTGTATTGAAAGGCAGAGACCTTGAAGCAGCCCCTGTCTGCGCTGCAGAGATGTAGGCACCCGCTGCAGGGCCACGGGGTGCTCACCCAGACCCTCTTCGTAGGATGAGCCTTGCTTTTCCCACATGCACTGCACCCACGGCTTGGTCAGTGACATTTTGGTTGCAGCAACAAATTCTAGGTGAGAGGAGGTTATGACTGGGGCTGGGAAAACCATCCGAGTGAAAAACTTTATTCAGCACTTTTCTTTCTTTTCCTTCTTTCTTTGTGAGTTGCCTGCAAGCGTGTGAGACTTTTTCCAGATGACCTGGTGACTCACAGCATGAGTTGCCTGGCCAACCTGAGTGCCGCTTTCGGGGCAGACCCGCGCCCCGAGCCCCTCGGTGTGTGAGGGCAGAGCATCCTCCAGCCACAAATCCGCGGGGAGAGCGAGCTTGCCCTGGCTTGGTGCTGCTCCAGGGGCTGGCGTAGGGGAGGGAGCGCAGGACCCCCCGTGCCCCACGGCTGGGAGGATGCTGTGCCCTCGCCAAAGAAGTAGATGAGGCTGTAGTACAAGGGTAATAATGGTTTCTAACCTTTCTGCAGTTCTCACAGAGGAGGAAGACTCTTTGCAGCTGCGTATCTTAGTATAAGGTGCACCACGTGCAGAAATGCATTTTGAAGGAAAACAAGTGCTTTCATCCGACATTTCCAAAAAATACATGCACTTTGTATTACCCACTGATAATCCATCCCCTTTTGATGCCTGCAAGCAGCCCATGGTCTGTGGAGAGCTGGTGAACAGCTTGCTAAGAGCTTGCTGGTCAAACCTGCTTGGTTGTGATCAGCCACGTGGCATATTCCTGTGACCATGGGATAAAATCCCTGTGACCTCCTCAAGCGGTCTCCAAAATTATCTTTCAGCTTGCAGCTTTAGCAAACATTCTTGCCACCAGCACATCCACGATGTTTGTAAGGGAAAGGGAACAGGAAAGGGACATGGAAGCCAGGCTGTGAAAACAATGTCATCTGTTTTTTAGAGAAGGTGAGACAAGACCCTGCAAAGTTTGGGAGAGCTATTGTTGCCTCCTCACTTGAATGGGAGACATCTGCAGTGAAGGTACGCATGCACTAAAAGCCACAACAGACCGTGTCTGGTGACGTTCTGGCCTGAGCATACTGAGGAAGAGGTAGGAGGGGTCCCCGTTACCGTGCTGAGCATCCTGGAAAATGGGAATTGCACCTAAGAGCACGCACCAAAAATAGTAATATTTGTACAGGGTGTCAGGCACGGAACTCCCAGACAGAGCTGAACCAAACGGCTGGGGTTAACTGGACAAGAAAACACATGGCTGGAAAGATAGCCATCAAATTCCTCTTACTCCTTTCTCTGGCACTTTTTTCTCTCTGCAAAATGTTGACAATGTTCCTCAGACAGAAGGAGACTAGAAATGGAAAAAGTAAGTGGATAGGCCGTGGTTATGGCTTATTTTCTTTCCCCAACAGGGGAGTATTGTATAATGGAATTTTGTTCAAGTATCAGTTTTATTCTTAAAATAGTTATTATTCTTCATACTGCATATGAAACAAGAGCTATGTTTTGGGTCTAGCATACTTTTTGATAACAGGCTGTGAGTGAGCTTTTTAGAAATTAATAAATAAAAATAAAATTATTTTTTATTAAATTCATTCTAAATTAATTTAATTTAAACTAAATTAAAATTAAATAAAATGTAAAAGGAGATATGAAAAAACCCTTTTTCATGTGTATTTGGACAAAACAGACATCTGTGGACGCAGGGACTGAGAGTACAAAATCTTCTGTCCTCTGCTCTTTGCTAAATGAACTACAAAACTGGAATCAAAGACAGGTGTATTTTGACGACAGTGACCAGATTCTGATATGGGGTGTAATCTCACACTGCTGGATTGCCCTGCTACCCGTAGTCAGAATGCTAACCACTGAGAGACCGAGGGTCTCTCTCTAAATGACATGTCCATGAGCTGATGCAAATATAGGAGCAACAGTGGAACCGTATAATGCAACAACCAAGCATGTCCCTGAGTGCTCCGGTATCAAAACAAGGCCACTGTGTTTCAGGAAACATAAAAGCCCTGAAAGAGGAGAGAACTTGTATGATCACACTTCAGAAAATTACAAGAACTCTACATCTAAAGCCAAAAACTAAGCGGCAAAATTCCCAGATCAATCTGTCTCGTTATCTTTTTTGCTTTGTTTTGTTGTGGTTTTTTTTTTTTTTTTTTGTGTATGTGTTTTTTGTGGTTTTTGTTTATTTTTGGGGGGTTTTTTTATTTTATTTTATTTTTTTTTAAGTTTGGTTTGGTTTTTTTCCCTTGCATTGGAGCAGAAATATTATCAAAAAAACATCTCTCAAAGTGATTTCAATACTTCCTTCTGTCCTGAGAAAAGATATATAAACCTGAGAAAAATGCTGGAGGGAGAGGACAAAGTAGCTTTGGAAGTCTATGGTTATTCATGGGCAGGTTGTGTAGCGGGGACAATGTGCTTCATTCTGTGCAAGTCAAAAGGTTTTAACAGTCCTTTCTGCAAATATATGACCAGTATAAAAGACATGATGTTGGACCTAATTCAGTTTTCATTCATTCTGTCCCAGTTGAAACAACTCTTGGAAATTTAGTGTGAGAACAGTTTCCAAAAATAGGTAAGAAGTTAAAGGATTTATGATGGAGATGGCAGCATCCATGGGAAAAGGGTCAGGTGGCCACAGTGCTCCCTCGTCTTCTCTACATCGCAGAAAACTTTGTCTGGTTTTTGCTGAGTTTTGAGTGAAAATGGAATTCTCTGGTATTATTAATTTTGTTTTATTTGGGTCACCTTTCCTTATATATTACCCCAGCAAAATAAACAAGTGCAAGGAGTTATAGCTTTGATTTTGAGGGGGATACGTGTGAAATACTCACACTGAGTCAGGAGAGCTGTGCTAACCATATGTACTGTTATATATATGTCACACGGACAGATGACCATGAACAGGAAAATGCAATCAATCATGCCGGCACTTTCTTCCCAGCCTCTCCTCTCACGTGCCTACACCAGAAAACCATTGATATGCACACATGTGTAAACAAAAGTTGGCATATTTCTTTTACTTTTGTATTTTTTCAGGTCCTTCTGTAACACAAGGGATAATATTTGCCTCTCATTGTTTAAAGTGGCAGTGATCCACTTGCTAAGTGGAAAAACTACAACGCAAAAGGTTTTAATTTAAAATCCCAGCACAGAAAACAGATTATTGCTGAAAAATAAAAGTTCTGATATCTAACTATTATAAGAAGAACCTTTTTTAAAAAATAATTTGCTTGATAAAGTGAGAGGTTAATAGCAGTGACCATAAATCAAGTTTAATTTAGGCACAGTTTGTGTAAACTTCCCTGAAAACCTTTGCCAGGGTATTTTATTCTTCACCTGTGTGTCCCTCCTTGCTAATGCAGCTGGCTACACCACCACCTGTTTTGTGATATGAAGCTCCAGGTGAAGTCACCAGCTCCACCTCCATGGTGAGATCCTGAAAAAGGAAGATCCTGAAAGATCCTGGAAAATGTTACCTGCCTAAGGAGACCCGTTGGCTCTAACAGGACTAATCACCTGTCTTAACCGTCTCCCAAAGTTACTTCCCAATGCATCAATCACGTATGTGATGCTCCAACTAAACTGCACTAAACAAAAGCAACAGATATCCTAAACCCACTACTAGAATACAATGAACTTGAATTAAATTTACTTGGCAAGCTACAGAAATTACTTGTCTTTCGGGCATTGTGAATGCACAATTTTTGGCACTGGGAAGCCATTCAGTGCACAGCAGCATATGAATTCTGGAGATTTGGGAGCACCAGCGAAGGGTTGGTTACACAAGCAGATACCTTAAGCAGGGCTGCTAAATGGTTTAAAAGAAACCAACACCATGCCACATAGAAGCTTAAAGTATTGCTCATGACAACTCTCTTTCGCAGGGCAACGAAATTACATTGGAAAAGAAATCAGTGGGCTCCCTTGAAAGACCTCCTTCCTTAAAAGTTTGTTACTGGTTTCTGTGGCTGCTTCAAGCTGCTCTGCTGTCATTAAATGACAGTGAAATTCCTTTACTGGCCACGGTTTCAACACTCAGCTAGTCGAGGTTGCGCAGCCCTGGGAGAGTTAGCAAGGTGAGCGGTGAGATGCATTTGCAGGTGAGACACATTTGCACGGGTCACGCACGGTTCTGTGCTGTTGGGGTCATCTCGCTGTGAGCTCTTCCCACCTCTGGCCCATCTGCAGGGACACCAGGCAGCACCATTGCAGGTGAGTGGTGGCACCATCCTCGCCAGCTGACGCACATGCCCAGCACATGCATGCCTCTCCCAAAGTGAGACTCCTCTTTTCCTCATTTATCTGGATTTTCGTAGAATAACCTGTTGCTGAAAAAAAAAAAAAAAAAAAAAAAGAAAAAAAGAAAAAAAAAAAAGAAAAAAGAGTGGGCTTTGGGTGTAAAAAGCTGGAGTGCTGACTCTACACCATCTGGTGACTTCTTAACTGCAACCATACAGCATAGCACAAGTCCTCTGAGGGAAGAGGTGACTAATAAGCTGTAGAGAGGTCCTGAGCTGGTTAGGAAGTAACATTAGATTTCTGCTGTCTTCACTAGTTAATGTGATATGTAAATGAGTAACATATGATACGACTTGAAGCCCTTGCTGTCTGTAGGAAACATATGCCGATGTAAGTGCTTCGGAGGAGGTGGTTTTCCTAATGAATATGCTCTTTGTTTGAGAATGGCAGTGAAGTCCCGGTTTTCTTCTATCATCTTGTGCAACTTGTCTAAAGCAACACTTGTTCCAGGGAATGGCAAATGTTTGAAATTTGAACGGGATCGGTTCCATTAGCCTGAATTTGTACTGTCACACCCTGACTTCCACACTGCAAGAAATC